AGAGTGGGAAGCACAACAGGCAGACTGATGAAATACACTGCTGAGGGGAGCAACAGGTGAGTCTGGAGAGGTCTGCTGCACCATATGTATTGCTCCCTGGCTGGGTATCGAACTCGTGCTGCAGAGTCCGTGGACAACTTCGTAAGTTGTATCTTAATCCCTTGCGCCACCAGGGAGGCCCTAGAAAGACACTTTTATAAGGATGAAGTATGGCACAATGAGTTAGACTGAGTATCTGTTTTGGATAGGAAATTAGGTTTCAGAACAACCACTCATGGCTTAAGATCACACCTTTTGTTCTGGTTGTGATATGAGATCTGAAACTCTAGATAGTAACCATCAGATATTATTGAGTTATGGTAAATATTTGCTGAAATAATTTATGTGTATTTGAGGTGTTAATTTGTCGGCTTGCCCATATTCATAAGAGATTGTTGGCACATTGCTTCTAAGCATTTTAAAAAAGATTTATTTTTTAGGGCCTCCCCTAGTGGCGCAGCGGTTGAGCGCCGGGCTGTTAAGCTGCCCGCAGCCTCTGCAGCACCGGTTCGATCCCCGCCACCGGGGAGGGTCCCACATGGCATGCAGACCTCTCCTGCCGCGCCCGCTGCTCCCCTCAGCACTGTGCTTCATCAATCTGCCTGTTCTCCCTGCTCTGGCTCTGGTGAATTCTCTCACCCTCCTGCGCTTCTGACTGTACCCAGTACTTGTATAAATAAATAAATAAATCTTAAAAAAAGATTTATTTTTATTTATTTATGCATACAAGACTTGGGGTGTAGGAGAGAGGTGTGGGTGGTGAGAGGATTCACCAGAGTGGGGAGCAGAACAGGCAGATCTGCTGAAATACACTGCTAAGGGGAGCAGGAGGTGAGACGGGAGAGGTCTGCTGTGCCATATGTGTCACCTCCCTGGCTGGATCGAACTCAGGCTGCAGTGGTGGTCACGCTGAGACTTAACCCCTAGGCTGCCAGGGATGCCCTTGCTTCTAAGCATTTTTATGAGTAGCAAGTACAGGCATTGGTCACACCTTTGGTGTATGAATGTTCCTTGAATGATGGTGCCCCCTGACACTTCTCACAAGAAATATTGTGGGAATTAGTAAGTTGAATACGATACTAGCTCTGATTTCCAGAAGCCTACTGTTCTACAAAGAAGAGAAAACATGTTTATACATAATGAATCAAATCACATAGCAATAGATTATAGGGCAATATATTATAAGCATAAATTTATACACTACTACTATAATGGTAATCTATGTTATCATTTTCAAATTTAAGAGCTTCATATTCTTTTTTTTTTTTGCTATTAGTGATCTGAAACCAGGAAGAGAACACCTACAGAAAGATTATATCAGTATTTTTAATACAATATTGAGTATTGAATGTACCATATATCAGTGAGTTAAATATAATTTTATCAGTTGTCACCATCACTCTAGCAATTAAGTACTAATTTTTCACTATTATATAGTGACAGAAAGTGAAAGTGAGAAAGTTAGTACTTACCCAGAATCACAGCATGTAAGTAGAGTATGTAGAGCTTGAATTCTGGACTATTTGACAGCTAAAGCTCATATTTTTAATATTCTGCCTATAAACGTTTCATGGAAAAAATTGAGAACATTTTTTTCCTTGAAGGCTGATAAAAACTGTTGTTTTAAGGATAATTACAAAAAGGTTTCTTACTTGAATCAATTAATATTAATGAACACATTTTCTTTATTACCACTTTATGATACAACCTAAAATTTTATTTTGTTGGGAACTTTAAACTATAAAATATATGAAACTGATATCTTTATTTTTCTCTGAAATATTGTAATGACATTGAAGTATGAGTGTATCCTTCCTGCTTGCTGTGGTATCTGTAGTAGCCCAGAAATTTAGAGACTTAATTTTCCAGTTAGTGTTTAATAACATGTGTTAGCATATCCCATAATTCTATGAAAAATAATTAAATTAATTATCAAGGTTAATTTACTATTATCAGGTTAATAAGATTAATTTAGTATTATCTCTATGCTTTTAATAAATGTCAAGTGACATGTATGTGGAAAATGAGAGCTCTATATTATAATTAAAAAACACTAATTGAGAATTGTGTATAATTTTATAACTTGTTTTAGAACCCTTCTAATATTTATTTCAAGATATACAAAAAAAAGAATCCAAATAGAGAACATCAAGACAAAAGGAATGACTGTCATAAATTACGAAATTGGACTTGGATTGTTTTTATACCATTTACTCTTCAATCCACTTTTTCCTAAATAGTACAGAATTTATATATTTTCTAAGCAAGATTCTAGGAAGTCATTTAGGACACCAACTCACATATGTATCACTTAATATGTTTTCAGTGATAAGAAACAGAAAGCCCTGATTTTATCGGGTTTAAATAATAAGAGAATTTATTATCTCATATAAAAAAGAAGTGGAAAGGTGTAAGTCTAATGATTGAGAATATAAGCCCCATCTCTCCTAAATCTTTGTCAACTTTCTCCCTGGAGACTATCTTATACCTGGTGGATGAAGGTACTACAACACTTTCAGGAGAAATATCCTATCATAACAAAGCCCAGTGAAGGAAAGTAACCACCTCTTTGCATCTCTTCTTAGATAAATATATCCTTCCCAGGAATACTCCCCTACTCCTTTCAGAGTTCCCCTCACATCTTTTTTGGACATAATGGCAGTACTTATTCCCAAACTAATCATTGTTAAAAGGAATGGGACAGGTGTAATTGACTTAAGAAAATCAGGATCATCCCCTGGGGATGATCATCCCCTGGGGTCAGGATCATCTCCTGGGCTAAGGTTTAATAATGTTGCTCCTATAAAGCCTGTGACTTTGTAAAGGAAGGAATATGCTAGAACGAATCAAAGTTTTTTCAGAAAGAAGAAAGAGGAATGTCTACTGGCTAGCCAACCAACAATGGCTGTTACAGAATGGTACGAAATGTAGCTGAAAAGGGACCATCTGTGGAGCTCAAATAATGTTCTGCAGGATTTTTGTTTCTTTGGGTTTTTTTTTTTTTGAGGTCAGCTTTTTGATTTCTAGAGGGTCCCCAACACTGGTACTCATCCTTTTTATAATTATAACTTTAGAGAAATTCCATCTGTAAGGGACCATTCTGAGAGTCAGGTTATATGTTTTCTGCAAGGTCACACAATATATTAACAGCAAAACTCTTTTGGCTGTATTAGGCAAGGTTTCTTGACTCATGCAGGTATTTCTTTTTTCTTTTTCATTCTCTATCCTTCAGACCTTAAAACCATTGGAACTGCTTTAAAATTCATAGCAAACTCTTTTTCTCAGTTCCCTCTAATACATTTATTTTGTTTATTCAGTTTTTTAGAAACTAAACTGAAGTCTTTTCTTTAAAAAGTCTGCCGAGGTGCTTATTCTCTGCTTTGAGCTTGTGTATGAGCCACCAACAAATTCTTCCCCACCTCTCATTTGAAGCAGATTTCTTTCAATTTTTTCGATGTTGTTCCCCATCTTCTTTTGCTCCATTCATGACCAGTTTCCTGTTTCTAAATAGACTTTGTGGTCACCTTCCCCAATTTGTGCCAGCTCTTAGCCAGTAGTTATTTAGGCTGTGGTCTTTATTGTTCTTCCTACAGCCTATTCAATTGTGGTTGCCCCACAAATCCACATTGTTATATGTCCCAAATTGAGTTCTGGAATTATTTTGGTAACTACCAGATTGGGTGAAATTCAAATGAATAATTAAAGTGTTGGGACAACTCCTATTGCATGTTCCCTCCTGTTTTTATGATCCAAGAAGTGCTGCGTCTTACACTCTCATTACATACAATGCATAAATAGCGTGTGGTTTATGACCTGCCACAAACTTGAATGCTTATTATTTACTTTGTACTTTTATTCATTTCTAGGACAAGATGTTGATAAATATAAAGAGCATCTTGTGGATGTGTTCTACCTTAATAGCAACCCATGCGCTGCAAAATGGTGAGTGTGGAAATAATTTCCTTGGTGATAATTGAAATAAACGTGTAAGTACTAGGGTTAGAATCACTAGAATAAAGAGTTAATTTTTGATCTATTTGGTGCTAAACACTCCTAACTAAAATATTGGGCTGACTGCTCCCCACTCTGGCTCTGGTGAATTCTCTCACCCTCCCGCGCTTCTGACTGTACCCAGTGCATGTGTAAACAGAACAAACAAACAAACAAACAAATAAATAAATAAATAAACATGCCTCTATTTAAAAAAAAAAAAATAATAAAATATTGGGCTGAAAATTATCATAGTAAATAAACAAATTAAAGCAAAATAATGAAAGGGATGCTGAAGGAGCCAAGGGGGTTTTCAGTAACTTCCAAGATTCTTTTCAGACTGTGCAAAAAGGCTTTTATATGGCGTACTTTAAAATTCCACCTTCTATACTACTCAAAGACTTTCATATAAAAAAAAAAGAAAGACAAAATTTCTGGAGACTAGAGTTTGAAGGGTCAAGAAGATTCAGAGAAGGCTGGTAGCCAAGTTTTTGTGTCCTCGCCTCTGCCTTGTCCACCCCTTTTACTTCCCCTTTTTCCTTTCCTCCTATCTCTTCCCCCATCTCTCTCTCTCTCTTTCTCTCTCTCAAATGGGTAAGTGTCCTGTACTGTTTATTTTTGTTTATTTTTTGGCTTTATAACAATGAGGATGTTATAATTCCAGATTTGTGGACTATGGATTTCCTGTAAATGAATCTCCTAGTTACATGAGACAGGCAACAGACAGTCCAGATACTTTCAAATTCATGAAAATAAAGCAGAGTGAGATCGTGGAGAATGCTCTGGTCTAGGGGAGGTGGGAGGCCTCTTTGAGAAAGTCTCATTTAAACTGAGATATGAGTGATGAAGGGAAGCTGGCCAGCCAATGTCTGGCCCTGAGTTCCGAGGAAATGAAGTGTGTTGAGCAATAGAAAGGTCGCCATAGTTAGAGAGGGAAGGAGACGATACAGAGAGAGATGGTGGCAGTGGGACCAGAGAGACGTCCTCGGGGTATGTGGAGATGGAGGATTTAGATTAAATAAAGGGTTGGATATGATGTGGAGAGGGCAAGAGAGGAATCAAGGATGAGCTGACTTCTGAGCTGCTCACCTTCCTTGCCTCCATTCTCCTTTCTGGCCCATTTAACAGCTCCCTCTCCATGTATGCGTGCTGTTACAGCTATGATAGCCCATAACACTGCCGTGGCAAGTTATTCCTTTTTCTTCTCCCCAAGCAGACTGTAGGCTGCAAGAAGTTGCCTTCATTTCCTAGCAGAGGGCTTCATGCACTGAGAGCATTAAACTAAATTTCATGTATTTCGTAAATTAGTGACTGAGCAAGTAAACTCATTTATGAATGCCATCAGAGTCTGTTAACTTCCTATGAGTGATTTTTTCCAGCATTTTCAGCAAGTAAAGGTGAAGGTCACAGACAGGAAAGGACATCAGCATGCACTGAAAAGAGACATAAAAAGAAAGATACAGAAAACCAAAAAGTTGGCTTGTGTGGGCAGGAACAGGAGGGGAATTACAGAGAAAGTAGTGGAGAAACTTGAGCGAAAGGGCAGCTACCCATTCATTCAAACAAAATTTAGACTTTCCCCTGAAAAAAAAGACTCACACAGAAAGGGAGGAAAAACTAAAATACTTCTGTTAGATCTCCCAGAGAGGATTTTAGAACAGTAATAATAGCTAAAAACATTGAGTAATTGTTTGTGGTTGGTTTTGCTTTAAGTATTTTACATAGTTTATTTAATCTCACCTTTCCTCTCATCTGTCCTCTCCGATAAAACAGATGCTTTTATTCTCCCCACTTGGCAGAGGAGGAAATGAAACTACCCAAAGGTTTGGAGGGATAGTTGATATAGAAGATCAGGCACAATGTAGTGACATAGCTAGGAGGTGCTCCATAGTCCCTGGTCTCAACCACTTTGTACACCAAGAATCAAGTTCTTTGTAGTTTGGTCATCACTGCTAGATATGTAACTACAAGATATGTAACAAGTTGGGGGTCATTTCAGAAGAATTTTTTGTCATATGAGACAAAATTTAAAAATATAATATGCAGATAAAACAGATTTACTGAGTTCCCAGTGGGGTAACTGGTTGCTGAGTTCAGTACCAGTACTTTCCTCTTAAGTTTTTCTCTCTTTATTCCTAGGTACTCCGTGGTCAATAACATTAGTGAAAATGTTGCCTATTGCTTTTTCCTTTACTGTAATGCATGGGGAGCTCTTTGCTTTAACAATGTCTATTATATTGATTATCTAGCATTGACCTAGTGACTTGGATATTCCTCTAATATTAATAAATGGAGCCATGTACAGTCATGAGTAAATAAAACGAGAGTAGTACTTCCTTCTTGAGAAATTCCAGTATTCTCTATCTATCATGTATTTGGTCAAGGTCTCTGTATATATGTATTTGGTCAAATTGTATAGATAGAATTTATATCATCCTTGCACTGCAGAATTAACTGACTGAGAATGGAGTGAAATTGATTGTTCACATTTAGAGATTGTTCCCTGATTGCGACTCACTTGGACCATAAACCATCTAATGGCAACAATGAACATTTTGCTGACATTTATTTTTATTACTTGCATTGTCAGAGTTTCAGACAAATTCTTTCAGGTAGCTTTTTTTTTTTTTCTTTTTAACATGTGTAGTCTATAAACATCTTCTGAACTACTAAATTACTTTCTTAAAATATTTATATTTAGTGAACTTAGTTCTTGTGACCCCAATGCATTAAGACTCAAGATTTCATACACAAAAGACTTGACCACACAGCTTTTTGTTAATCTTGTTAAGACTGAATTCTGCATGACTATTTATTTATCCCTAACTGAAGCTTTTAATTTTCTTAATATCTTTAAACATCCAGAACAATAAATAACCCTTGGGAATATTGCCTTTTGACATCATTTTGTTCCAATACATATTTTTATTACAACACAATTCCTGAACAATGCCCTATGTTTCAGGAACCTCCCAATCAGATAGATTGGACTGAATCTCAAATCTGTCCCTACACTTCTAAAATTGTGAAAAGAACTATTAATACATATATAATTTTGTAATAAATATTAAGGACTTGAGAGTCGTGTATCTTCAGCTCATTTTAAGGAGAAGATAAACAGTCTCATAATTTACATCATAATTGAGGATGATAGTAAATCTGTTTACTCTCCATTTGAAAAAACAGTGTTTTATTTGTGGCCTAGTTAATCATCTAAAGACATCTTCAGGAAGGAAAATAAAATTTCTTAGATCATATGATGAGTAAAAATTGGGAGGATTTTAGAACACAGGATTCCCAGGTCCCCTGTTGGTGGGAGAAATGTGTAAGGTGATTTTGTGTTGTTATCATCTCCCTAGTGGGGTCCAAATTAGAGGACTATGAAATAGGTGAAGATTGCTTTCCAGGGATACCCTCCATAGTGTAGATTTATTTTAAAGTTCACAAAATTACTAACAGTTAAGAAAAGCAAATTAAGGAAATAGTGTGGGGTAGAATTAGGAGTCTAGACTCAAAAAGGAACTAACACTGAGACTTCTTATGTGATTTAAGATAGGCACAGGAGACCAATTCAATAAATACCAAAGCTGAAAGATTCTTTGCTTAGGTGTTAAGGAATATGGGCTCTGGACCAAGTCTATCACCATCCAGTTGGTGAACTGACGGCCACTTTCTGTCAGTGGGAATCCTTAGTAAGAGGTTGGAGCAAACTCACTCCGAAGGTGAACCTTCAGTAAGAGAATTTATTTTTTAAGGCAAGCATTCCATTCCATTTTGCTACTTATTTTTGAGTTACTAATAATCTTAGCATTTTAAAGATTAGTTTAGTGCAGCTAATAGCACACTTCATTTTATTTTTATTTAATTTTGTTAAGTGCCTTAAATCCTATTTTGGATAACTCTATAGATTAGTAATGATAAACACATGACAGCAATGGGCATTATAAATTTGAAGTAGATTAGTTATTTCTATCATAAGCACTGTACTGTGTTGGTTATTAGATTTATTTGTATCCTGTGAAATATTGTACATGTCAGTGTTTTTGAAATTGAATTCCAATCTTTAGCAATAGAGGGTATTTTTTTTTCCTTAAAAAATATGTAGAAGTTTCATAAGTTCTTATTGTAATTTTCAAAACAAATTATGCCCAATGGAATCTACAGGGCTACACTGACAGCTGTATCATTTCTGAATATTTAGATGAATATTCATATTGAAATGTGTGTTAACAATATCTATCTGTTAATGTGTGGCTAACACACTATCTGTGTTGGATACATATCATTTTATTCATTAAGACTCATTATTTCTTCTCATGTAGAGGCTATTCTTACCTGGTTTATCATATTTTCACAAAGTAGGAATTGTTTGAGAATTGATAATATGTTCTATTGTTATTTACAACACATTGAATAGCCAATTAGTAGAGACTGGAAGATGGGAGACGTGGGGCAGGGATACAGAGTCCTTTAAGAGTGAAAGTTTTTGTTTTTTTTTTTCATGTGGTAGTGTTAAATTGTAGTCAATATATTTATTATTAAAACTAAGGGCTTAAGCAGAATGGCATTTTGCAGATTAATATTTTAGGAGAGTTAGGTGAACAGAAATCAACTTCTTTTAACCCTCCCCACCCAGATATAAGGAAAAGGTAGTGTTTCCTTGCTCAGTGATCCAATCTTCTGAAATACTTTCTCTCCTTTTACTTCCTCCTTGAATTTTATTTTCATTTCCTCCTATATAATGTAGCCATTATCTTAACATTTTTGTTTTCAGACCCTTAGACATAAATTTCACCTTTCAACTGCTTGCTAACATTGTTGCAATTTTTCAAACGTGCATTTTTTTCTCAATAAGAAGTCAGTTTTTATAAGCACTAGACACCAGCCATTCTAAACAATGTCAATGATAAAATACTCCTCCTGGCAGCACCAGACCACCCTTGTGCTCCCACCCTCTCTGAGACCACCTACCCACCTGCTTTCTCTGCTGTCTGACCTGCCATTTAACACTGAGGTGGGAACATATGCCCTTCTATTTTTTAAAGAATGTTTTTCTACTTCACAACTTCTAATTATCAAAGTGATGTTTAGAATTTAAAAGATAAAGAAACAATATGCTGAAACATTTAAAAAGTCCTTCACTTCACTATTCAGAGATGATTCCAGCCTTTTACCATATTTCCTTCTGTCAATTTTTTCTTCACACAACTAAGATCATTTGTATTTATGCCAGAGACCCTTAATAAATTACATTTATAAAAAAAGATTTATTTATTTATGCATAAAAGAACTGGGGTACAGGCGAGAGGTGTGGAACTGAGGTATAGGCCAGATGTGTGGGGAGTGAGAGGACTCACCAGAAACAGAGAGGGGAACAGAACAGGCAGATCGACTGAAATACACTGCTGAGGGAAGCAGCAGGAGAGGCAGGAGAGGTCTGCTGCACCATGTGGGTTCATCCCTGGCCGGGGATTGAACTCGTGCTGTAGATTGCTTCATAGGTTGCATCTTAACCCCTTGTGCCACCAGGGAGGCCCAATAAATTGCATTTTTAAAGGCTACACAATAAACCACTTTATGGCTGTGCTATACATTTCTTCACTATTCTGTTAATGTATGCATTTAGGCTGCATCCGGCCTGTCACAGTATCTATCTGCCTCGTTTGTCTGTCTACTTAATTTGTATTGAAGTAATGCTGGTTTACAACACTGTATAAGTTTCAGATGTAGGGGCCTCCCTGGTGGTGCAGGGGTTAAAGACAGTGCTATCAAGCTAGCACCAGCCTCTGCAGCATGAGTTCTATCCCCACTCCAGCCAGGGAGCTAACCCTCATGGCTCAGCAGACCTTTCCTGTGTCGCCCGCTGCTCCCCTCAGCAGTGTATTTCAGTGGATCTGCCTATTCTGTTCCCCACTCTCTCTCTGGTGAATCCTCTCACGCTCCGCACCTCTGGCCTGTACCCCGGTTCTTGTATACATGCATAAATCTTAAAAAAAAAAAAGTTTCAGATGTACAGCTTCACATGCCGATGTGTATATCTCTCCTACATGTCACTGACGGTACAGTTTCCATTCACCACAATTCAATTACACTCCACTGTCTCACACACCCTCTCGTTCCCCGTCCCCTTTGGTAACCACCATTCTGTTGTCAATCTAAGGGTTTGTTTTTGTTTTGCTTGATCATTTGCTTTTGATTATTTATCTTCCATAGATGAATTAAATAATAAGCTGGATGTCTTTCTCCATAGGACTTATTTCACTTAGCATAATACCTTCAAGATCCATCCATGTTTTCACAAATGACAAGATTTCATCATTTTTTTAAATAGCCCAGTAGTATTCCAGTGTGTGTGCATATCACATCTGCTTTATCCATTCATCTGCAAGTAGGTATAGGTTATTCCACATATAGCTCTTTTGAATAATACTTCAATGAACATGTGTACATATATCTTTTTGAATTAATGTTTTTGTTTTCTTTGGGTAAATGCCCAGAAGCAGAATTGCTAGGTCATATGGTAGTTCTATTTTCAATTTTGAGGAATGTCCCTATTATTTTTCATAGTGGCTGCATCAATTTACCTGCCCACCATTGGTGTCTGAGGGTTTGCCCAATCTGCGTTGTTGATTCTAGTCTGCCTTTCTCCTTTTGTCTTTTATTGCTTGCTTCCCTATACTTGCCTTATTTCATTTATGTTAAACACTGTTATAAATGCTTAAAATGAATGCCATACTCTAGTACATAAAAATTAGCATGATTAATCCATGCCTGTTATGAGACATTTTTGAAATGGTATACTATTCTCTGTATATAGATAAAATTAATTATTTGACATATTTGAAGATGTTACTAAACTTCTGTAAGGGTTTCTTATTCATTCAGATATTTAGTACACTCAGTTTGGGTTTTACAGCACTGCTAATTTGGTATTTTCTCTTTCCTCTAGTTAAAGTGGAAAAAGTCCACCTGTTAAGGGTTTCCTCTCTGGAAAAGTGAACCTACCTTGTCATTTTTCAACCATGCCTACCTTACCACCTGGTTATAACACCACCAGTGAATCTCTCCGAATCAAGTGGTCTAAGATGGAAGTGGATAAAAATGGAAAAGATTTAAAGGAGACTACTGTTCTTGTGGCCCAAGATGGGAATATCAAGATCGGGCAAGGTTTCAAAGGGAGAGTGTCAGTGCCTACACACCCTGAGGCTGTGGGGGACGCCTCACTCACTATGGTCAAAGTGCGTGCGAGTGACGCAGGGCTCTACCGCTGTGACGTCATGTATGGGATTGAAGACACACAAGACACAGTATCATTGGCTGTGGAAGGTAAGGTTTTCAGAATCTGTAAGAAAGTGGTATAACATGATACCTAATTCAGAAGTGCTGTAAAACAGTGCTCAAAAGAAATGATTATTCAGGGTTTGGAAAGGTGGAAAAAACATCCATCAACCCTACAGTCCATGTTCATTCACCAAAAATGAAACACAGTTTGGGGTTAAAGAAGGGGCCATTTTATGTAGCAGTTTTCATTGAGGTGATGCAGTATAGTGGATATAGCGAATAACTCAAGACATGGTTTACAGTTAGGGAATCACTATAAATTATTGAGACCTATCGTTGGTTGCTTTTCAAGACTATAAAGTATGATCTGCTTTTTGTTTTAATTTTCACATATGAATGAATACACACACAAACATACACGCATGTGCACAAAATCCTTTTCTTCACTTTTTTCATTCTTCTAGAACAATTAATAAATCTTTGAGGTTGTTTTTAAGAAATGTAAATTCTATTTTAACTTTCATTGAAGAAATAGGTACTTATTGGTACTTAATAAATACCATGGTATATATCACAGTGCCTTAAAACAGCCAGGACTCAGTAAACACTTGAATTGGTTCAAAGTAAGAATTCAAGAAAAATTTTTAAAGCTTGATACATTAATTGTTTTCCATTAGGTTTTGCAATGAAACACTGTAGCTTTATCCTCTTTTCAGTGGTGGTTTCCATGTCATTTGAATTTAAGTTAAGAGACAAAGCAACAAAAAATTGCTTTAATTGGGCACACACTTAATGACATAGCTCTCGGAAGCATGATATTTTGGCAAGTTATTAAGCAAAATTCTAATAACCAGGCATGATGAAACAGAGTTTCTTACAACCCTCCATTTCCCTATAAAATATTTACCTTTCATATATATATACAAAGGGCTTTATTAAAACTCTTTTTGTCTAGCCAAAAGGAAATTCTTTGCATTTCAGATGCTACAAATTAACTTCCTGAACATCCTTTTATATTCAGATTCTATTGCTTCCTTATATAAATCTATTTTTATGTTGTCCAAGCATCCACTAAATATCTTGGGCTCTTGGCTCTTCTATAACCCTTTTATCATTTATTTTAATTAAACTGAGATCTTTTTATCCTGTTGATATTTTTCTCCTACTGTCCTTCTATATCTCTCCTTACATATATGGTGCTAAATACACAGGATATATACACTTATAGAATATATCTATTTTAAATCCTAAAAGAAGTTTAACAAATTCTTACAGTTTTCATCACTGAGAAATTAGCAATGTATTTTCCCTTTGCTCCCCTGAAACAGTGAAAACCTTCCACTTAATCTCCTTAGCCACATGACATCTTCAAATTATTGCAATGATTGCAGATATTTATACAGATTTATGTTTGATATCTTGGTCATGGAGGCTCCTTTGTGTCTCCTGACTGCCAATCTTCAGTGCTCATGAAAATTTTTTAATTACCAAGAAGTCTGTTTGGATCTTTGGTCAGCATAACATTAATTTAAAGTCATTCAAATTCTTGCTTAAGCCTTTATGAGCTACCTCTTATACCAGATAGCACCATATTTACTTTCTGATCATTTTAGTATAGTACTATAAGGATAAAATTTTTCTGAAAGGCATTTGATGAAATTTTCTTTGCAGTGTCAGAAATGGAAAAGTGAATGTAAGTTGTCAGTACATCTACTTGGTGAGATCGCAGGTCATTTTGTGTTGATGCTAGTCAGAACTACTTATCTATGACATGCTAGTCAGTTGCCCTGTAGTGACATTGTGGGATATAACTGTCTTGGAAGAGAGAGACAATCTATGAGTGAGTTTGTGGAAGACAGACTTTTATTTAGAAGTGAGACTGAGCAATAGACTGTTGTCAACCTAGCAAATTACTAGGAATAAAATGATAGTGAAAGGTGTCTTAGAAATCACAATTCATTCTATTTAACAAGAAAAGTGGCCTTAATTATATGACTCTATAAATTTCCTCCTTAGTAACCCATTGTGCTATTTTCTATTTTCAGTGTTGGCTCAAGCACATCAGCTTCACTCACATTTCAGTCTTGTAGAAATGAGTCACCATATTTACTTCACTTAAAAATAGAGATGCCCTTGTTGATGTGGAAGAAGACCCAATCCTTCATCTGCTTCTTATCCACCCCTTTGACAATTCCTTGTGCCGTGGAGCACAGCTCAGGAACCACTAGTTCGGGCAATTCCTAAAATACAACTAAGTGGAATTAGAGGCAAATATTGGGATACCTGGCTTATACTCAGGGGAATCTGGAGAACTGTTTTTCAGGCCTTCTTCTGTATAAAAGTCAATCAATATATCTTCCACAGCAGAGACCCTAAGTTATGCTGGTGAAATCATGAATATTTAAAAATAACATCTGGATAGTACAGAGTAACCTACCCAATATTTTAAATCCTTTAACTAATTTGACATTCACATTAAGCAAATGACTAACATAAGCAATATTAGGTTCACTTGTGGGGGAGGAAATTGAGGTTCAGTATATGATTAAGGACTTGTACATGATGAGAGAGTAACTTAGAGACTGGTACAGCTTTCTCACACGTACATTGTCTTTTCGATCTTAGTATGTGGTCTCTGAAAGTAAATAGTTCAGTGTTTTACATTTGGAGGAAGTGGAATTAAGAAATGTTCCATGGACTTCTATTGAGTTGGCCCTCGGTCAAATCATGAAGTAATAGAAGTCAATTTTTTGGCTCCCTTAACAATTTGTATTTCCTTTGGTTCCTATGTAGCCTGAAAGCTGCCTTTCATCCGGACAGCTATCCACCACCTGGGAATTAGAAGCTTCTGTCTTTTTCTTAGATTGTTTGTAGAAAATTCCTGGCTAAGAAACTCCATCATGGAGCAGCATGGGGCATCTGAGTGAATGACATTTCTGGGGCTCCTCAAATCACCATGATTTTTCACAATGCTACAGAAGATGAAAATGTTTGGATGATGTTATTACCATGTTAGCAATTAATTGAATATATTGCTCCAATGACAATATTGCATAGTGAGGTGGGAACTTAAACGTCCTTGTAACTGTGCTGCTGTCTTCACAGGGGTTGTGTTTCACTACCGGGCATCCACCAGCAGGTACACGCTGACCTTTGAGACTGCGCAGAAGGCTTGTATGGATGTTGGGGCAGTCATAGCAACCCCAGAACAGCTCTTTGCTGCCTACGAAGATGGATTTGAGCAGTGTGATGCAGGCTGGCTATCCGATCGGAGCGTTAGGTGAGAGTTGTAGGGACCACAGGCTTACTTTGTTAATTGCTGAATGAAAAGAAAGTGTTTCTTACTAGTCCTTTGTTTCCCCAGATACCCTATCCGGGCTCCCAGAGTAGGCTGTTATGGAGATATGATGGGGAAGCAAGGAGTCAGGACCTATGGCTACCGTTCTCCTCATGAAACTTATGACGTGTACTGCTATGTGGACCATCTGGATGGTAAGATGTTCAGACTGTTCAGATGTTTATATGTTCAGATGTTTAGACTGTAGCTGTAGCTTTACTGGGACTAAGAACTTTTGGGAAAGACTGAGGGCATGCTGGGAGAGAGCAAGTGTTCATGCTTGTGTGGATTCCAAGCAGCAACATTTAGTTTAAATGACCATATGATTCAGTGGTGAAATAAGCTTAAATTAAAGTGGAAAGAGAAGGAGGAGTGTGTAAGTGGTTATGCAGGTTGGAAATGTCTTTAGTTAATGGTAGGTTTCCTTTCAGTTATGCTGCTATTGGCTCGTACCCAATACGCTTTTAGAGCCTTCAGAATAGAAAGCTGTAAGGGTGGTACCTATTCTTGTGAGAAGTCAGGTAAATATCCTATGATAACAAACCACTATGAATCTAAGTGCTGATAAACACCACAAAGTACAACTAAATAATGGAAACTAGCACAGGAGGATTTTCATGTTTTACTTCTTGTGTTTACTTTGACACACTAATATTCTGAGCAATTATTCTCCTAACCAATATTTGTATGTTAAATATAGCAATAGTTGTCAAAGTCCTTTAGGTATTTAAAAAACATATGGCATAATCATTTCTCACTCAAGTTATAGGTTCTTAAAGAAAAGTTTGAGTTCAGTAGTGGTGACATTACTTAAGTGATACACAATTCAGATTTATTATAAGACACATGGAATAGAAATTTTTGAGTCTTTTGAAAAGGGGTTTCATTTGTACTAACAGGCATCTTCAAAACCTAAATGTGTTCACAGAAGTAGTGAGTTGAGTTATAATTTTAGTTTTGGCAGCATGTGCATATAAAGAATGGCCTCAATTTTCTGACATGTAAAGTGAGGAGATCAGACAAGGTAATTCCGTGGTCCTTTTCTAACATTAAAATTCTGTGATTCTATGTCTTGAATACACACCCTCTGAGATTGAAAGCTAGAAAGTAAGCAGTTTATATTTTCCTTATGCTCAGATTAAATTTGAATAGGAAGTCCAGCTTATAGAAAGGCTGCTTCAGTGTCATTCTCTAGCATCTTCACATTCTTATCATAATTATCGTATCAGACTGGTAAATGTATTTTCCAAACCCAAATTGAAACTAATATTAACAATTTCAATTTTTGTAAATGGACAAAAGGAGAACATATAATTTCCAAGCTATGGTTTATATTTGAGATATATAGAGAGATAGATATAGATAGCTCTAAATTCCATCCTTTAAATTTATTTATTTATTTATTTATTATTTATTTTTTTTTTTATAATAAAAACATTGTAAACATATTTATTTTCACGTCTTGGGTGGGACAGCAGAGCTAAATTTCAGGAATTTTCTTTTTTTTTTTTTTTTTTAAATATTAAATTTTATTTTTTATATTCCCCCATACAATTGCAAACGCCCCATTCTGACCCCAATCCTTCCCCTCCCGTCCCCCCCCACCCCCCAAAAAGTGTCTCTGGTTCATAGTTTTTTTGTTGATTTTGATTTTCACTTTCTTATATTCATTTTCCTGGTCCCTTATTTTAAGTTTTCTAGATTCCTGCTATGAGTGAGACCATCCGGTATTTTTCTTTTCTTTTTGGCTTATTTCCTGAGCATGATCCCTTCCAGTGCCATCCATGTTGCTGCAAAATTGCATGTGTTTTATCTTTTTTGAATGCTGAGTAATATTCCATGGTATATATGTACCACATCTTCTTGATCCAGTCATCTATTTTTGGGCATTTGGGTTTGTTTCCAAAGCTTAGCTATTGTAAACAGTGCTGCTATAAACATAGGAGTGCAGGTGCTCTTTGGAATTGATGTTTCTGTGTCCTTTGGGTAAATACCTAGGAGTGGAATTGCTGGTCATATGGAAGCTCTATGTTTAGTAGGTCCAGAAATCTCCACACAGCTCTCCATAGTGGTTGGACAGTTTGCACTCCACCAACAGTGCACAAGAGTTCCTTTTTCTCCACATCCTCGCCAACATTTGTTGTTGCTAGTTTTTTTAATATGTGCCATTCTCACTGGTGTGAGATGGTATCTCATGGTAGTTTTGATTTGCATTTCCCTGATTACAAGTGATGTTGAACATTTTTTTCATATGTCTGTTGGCCATTTGCATTTCCTCTTCAGAGAAGTTTCTTTTTAGCTCTTCTGCCCATTTTTTGACTGGATTATTTTCTTTGTTGTTGCTGAGTCTCATCAGCTCTTTGCAGATTTTTGTGATCAGTCCTTTATCATTAGTGTTGGTGCAAAAAATGTTTCTCCCAGTTGGTGGGGTTTCTCTTTGTTTTTTGTTATTGTCTCTTTTTGCTGTGCAGAAGCTCTTTAATTTTGATGTAGTCCCAGCTGTTTATCTTTCTCTTCACTATCACTGCTTTGGGTGATGTGTCTGTAAGATGTCTTTGATGTGCAAATCCCGTAGTGTTTCGCCTATATTTCCTTCTATGTATTTTATGGTTTCAGGTCTTATGTCTAGTTCTTTAATCCATTTTGAGTTGATTTTTGTGTATGGTGTGAGGTAGTGGTCAAGCTTCATTCTTTTGCATGTAGCGACCAGTTTTCCCAGCACCATTTATTGAACAAACTTTCTTTGCTCCAATGCATAGTCTTTGCTCCTTTGTCAAAGATTAGTTGACCATAAATCTGTGGGTTTATTTCTGGATTTTCTATTCGATTCCATTGGTCTGTATGTCTGTTCTTGTTCCAATACCATGCAGTTTTGATGATTATGGCTTTGTAGTATAGTTGAAGTCTGGGAGTGTGATGCCTCATTTCCTTCTTTTTTTTTTCAGTAGAGCTTGGCTATTCGGGGTTTTTGGTGATTCCATATGAATTTCATCAATAATTGTTCTATTTCTTTGAAGAATGCCATTGAGATTTTGATTGGAATAGCATTGAATCTGTATATTGCTTTTGGTAGGATGGCCATTTTAATAATGTTTATTCTTCCAATCCATGAGCAGGGGATGTCTTTCCATTTTTTGTGTCTTCTTCTATTTCTTTTAACAGTGTTAAGTTTTCTTTGTATAGGTCCTTTACCTTTCTTTGTTAGATTTATTCCAAAATATTTATTTTTTGTTTCGATAATAAAAGGTGGTTTTTTTGATTCTTTTCTTCAGATTTATTGTTTGTGTATAGGAAGGCTACTGACTTTTCGTGTGTTGATTTTGTATCCTGCCACTTTACTGAATTGATTGATGAGTTGAATTAGTTTTTCTGTGGAGATTTTTGGGTTCTCTATATTATCATATCATCTGCAAATAGTGATAGTTTGACTTCTTCTTTTCCTATTTGGATTCCTTGATGTCTTTCTCTTGTCTTATTGCTCTGGCTAGGACTTCCGTATTATATTGAAAAGCAGAAGTGGTGAGAGTGGACATCCTGTCTTGTTCCAGATCTTAATGGAATTGCTTTCAGCTTTTCACCATTGAGAATGATACTGGCTGTTGGCTTGTCATAGATGGCCTTTATGATGTTGAGGTATGTTCCTTGTATCCCAAGAATTTCAAGGGCTTTTATCATGAATGTGGTGTTGCACTTTGTCGAAAGCTTTTTCTAGCATCTATTGATATTATCATATGGTTTTTATATTTCTTTTTGTTGATGTGTTGGATAACGTTGATTGATTTCGGATGTTAACCATCCTTTTGCCCCTGGAATGAATCCAACTTGGTCGTGGTGAATTTATCTATGGATACATTGTTGGATTCTGATAGCTAAAATTTTATTGAGGATTTTTGCATCAGTGTTCATTAGGGAGTTGGGCCATAGTTTTCCTTTTTTGTGTTTGTCTTATTCGGTTTGGTATTAGTGTAATATTGG